CCCTTCAGAACAGCGGGAAAGCCAAGAATATGTGGACATACTGGGTTCAGGCCGAGAGCAAGGTCTACAATACAGGTTTCGTCATAACCATACTGACAATCATTCCCCTGCGGAATGTTGTAGAGTTCGTAGTTTTGTGCCACCCAACTAGTAGGCTGAGACAAACATTTACCCAAATACGTCATGCTGTTTGATGCAGACAGTGGCAGCTTACCATGCGAGAGGAGATGAACGCACTCCTCCGTCTCCACAAACTCGTAGTCCATTTCAACCCCACCTCCAGTAGCCGGTGCTTCTAGCGCGGACTTTTCCGTCACCAAATAGTTCCACGCATCATAGCTGATGTCATACGATCCCTGAGACTCATCAACCTTCAGCAGATGGAGGCTTCGAACACCATGCGACACCTTGACACAGATCGCATCACAGTCGACGTCGCTCGGCCAGTACGCTACACGATTTTGGTTTATTTTACATCCTAGTACCCCAACAGAAGAACCATACAAGGCGTGAGGCTTGATGAACAGTTTATGAGCCCTAGTTGCGGCGACTAAACTGGCCGATAGAATGACGATCAACGGGAAAAGCATCTTTGTAGGAGATTTGCTACCTGACAGGGCTTGTGTCTTTTATTTTTTGAACGCTCATTCTATTAGATCATAAGCTTCGTAAGGGATGAGGCAATCATTTGAGGTGGCTCGACTTTGTCACACCTCTTGAGGCTCAGATTTGCAACTTTAGCGCGTTATCGTCACTGATTTTGCATGATGTAATTACTCGGACGCATTCTTACGTGCTCAGTCATGCTAATGAGCCTTGACAGGGATTGCGCCTCGTTGAACTGCTGGCCAAATGATTATGATCATACCTATTGGTTTTTTGAGCCGGTGTTTTCTCTCGTATAGTACCTGAACATTTGAAACCTGGCGCTGATGAGCTGGTGCGACGGAAGTAGAGTAGGGGCAAGCTACAAGTACACGCACATATTATTACCTGATGTAGCCGATTCCTCCCACGATACAGTTACACAGCTCGAGATCCGATGACAAGACAACTATGGCACATCGGATGACGTTGGAGACCTTAGTTGGATGTAAATACGGATGTCATTGATACACCTCACTAGCGCGAGTGAACTGGAACGAGGAGCACTCATGTTGGCTTTCTTTACATTTCTCTTTCGCTTCTCCTTTTCATTCAGTTTGTCACAAATTACGTAGACTACGCCGTTGTTTTGAGCTGCATTACATTGGATAATAATCTATCCGTATCTTTCGCATCTCGTACTCTCCCCATGTACCCTCTCTATCCGTTGCCTAGCCGGGCGGAAGAAGCCTGTAGAGTTTACACAGCCGTGATAGTTTCTTCTTGTTAGACTGAGGGACTTAGACCGTGGCGAGCCTGGCCGTTGGAAAACGTTTCACAGATGAGGCACGGAGGCTCGATAAGCTGATGGGTGTGCTCGGCCTCCACACTGAAAAGCTCTCCGCGTTTACACAATGTACCTCAGACCCATGACAACTACATTCGTTACTAAGCTAGATTAGACCATGGACAGCTCGATAGGGCCCCTGGTCCGTTGGGACGACACCTTCATAGCTGCGCAGGAACCGGTGGGTAAACTACTGAGCTTCTACGCACATGGTTTGACTGTGTCCCTCGCGCGATGAGCCGGCTTCCGCCTCGACCGGAGCGACGCCTGGTCAATCCTCTGCTGAGATTACGTAACACTCGACCGAAAGGCTGTCAAGGACCAAAAGAGATCAATATTAGTAGCGACGGAAAGACATATCCAGCAATCTATCGCGTGAGTCCTTGTATGTTTCATGCGTTTGTCTACGCAGGGCGACGCTTGGACGACGAACGTGTCGCGTTCAATAATGATATCGACTCAATTTGACAGCGTTTGCGTCAACAAGACTCAACAGGAGGCATAAATGACATGGGCCAGCACCAGTCTCACTGAGCAAGGTAGACACGCTATCTCGCCACACCATCAGTCCACTCTACCTAACAGCTGCGAGGTTCAAGGAGTCAGCGCCAACTACTAAGAGTGCGAGCATTACATTTCAACCGTCTCAGTCGACAAGTCTTTCTCACGTGCTCTAGGAAAGAACGTTACGACTTGAGAGTGATAAATACCATCTAGGACTATTTCATCGTAATTACAGTCTTGCCGTTTTATGAGAGACGTAAGGGCTTACTGGAAATGTATTCCAGCATTGTTGTGACGTCTTCGTGCAAGATAATCCAGTCGACCTCTCTCAACCGCGCCAATTTGTGATGCGTCGCAAAGGCACCAACTACAATGATCCCCTGGTACTCAGCGTCCGATCCAGGTCGCTGCAGTACACGGTAGCCGTTGTGGAAAGCGCGGCCGATGGCGAGAGACACCCTCTCTGGGTGTATACCGTCTTTAATCTTTACCCAGCCATTGCATTCGAGCAAGCTGTCTAGCGTATGTTCAGCCAATCTCCAAGGCCCGAGTATGCGGCCCGTGCAGTAGTCGTTCAAAAGGTGGAGACTCAATCTGGTGCTGTCGCGACATAGTCCGATGACCAGTAAGCAATCGAATCGATTTTTGTCCAGAATGCGTTTCGCCTCATACGCTGCGTTGGGGTTCCAGAATCGGGTGACCGGCGTCAAAGCAAACCAGATCTCATCTTCCATCACATCCGCGTCCTTGAGCAGAAAGAAGTCGTCCACTTCTGGGCAATCGAGTTGTGGGGCGGGCTTATCATGTCCCATACACTCAATGACGTGTCTTGGTTCCGCAAGTCTGATCAATGTCGGGTCGGTGCCTGTTGGACTTGGTACGATATAGAACTTGGATCGAATTTGGGGTGCATCATGAGCTGCATTTGCTGCTCGTCGACGTCTTACGAGTTCTCGTGACGGGATGGGCGCTTCCGGTCGCGCAACCATTCGCTGTTCATTTGGTCGCAGGAACGATGGCGGAGGAAAGGTTCCCGCCCCTTTATGGCGCGGGGATGTTTGCGCTCTTTGGAGTCGCCGTGCCTCTGTCAGAACTTTGGCAAAAGAAACCATGTTGTTTCTCGACGCTACGCGGTGTGTTTTGTCGCCGGTCAAGATGGTGGGCCTATAGTCCTCAGACTCGATTCGTATGGCTACGTTCGTTAGACATTCTCATCCGATGGACTTGACGCCTACTCCGGCGACTTACTTGGCTGGATGGCACGACTTTATGCAGTTACAGGCTCCAGCTTAAGCAACCTTCAGGTGTCTATGTTCTCGTGCAGTGAGCGATGCGATTTCTATCCAGCCTGCATCTAGGCAGCACTAAATGAAAACGAAGGTCAAGTCTTAATTCTCCAGACACAATGCAATGAGTTGACCAATTACCGCCTCATATCCGACCGATGAGCAGTGAGAGAGTTGTAGACTTGTATCGATGCTGTGTTAGGCATGTTATTTCAGTCAACATACGTGCCGGCATTGAAAAGAGCTCCTAAACATCAATTTACAAGGCATGTAGCAGCTAACGTAACCGCGGGTTATAGAGAGATTCGTTGTAATGAAGCCAACAATCTTCATCTACACACCCCTCGACACCGTGAGCTGTCGGTGATCAGTTGTTTGAGAGAAAGTTAGTTCTGGACATGAAATCAGGTATTAGAGAGTGAACAGGCATTCTTGTACCGTTAGTCACCGTTCATTTGCCGTCCAAGGAACCACTTGGTCGACGGTACGCTTTCTATACGAGATATACTTGTGCATGGGGCAAAAAATAACCTCAGCCTGAAATCAAAACGTTTTCTTGAAACATCGCCCTTCATATCATGACATGATAAGAAGCTTTTCGTCAAACAAAAACATGGTTGCGTAAGCCTGCGGGTTGGACTATGTGACTGTCTGGCCATCTTAGTAGCTAAGCTCTGAAACGCTTGTGCTTCCCATCGTTGAATTGGGGCAAATACAAAGTGGGGCAAATACACAGCATACCTACAGTCTTCATCATGCCATTACTCAAACTACAAATGTTTGCATTTGAAAAGAAACAGTGAACGACATGTTAAGGATCCAACTTGGTGCTGAAACAGGATAAATATGGCCAACTATTGGAAACTAGTCGCTGTCCAGAAACGAGTTTGCCGTGATGCTTGAAACAGCATACCATTTAACGTGCTTTTGTCACATCGACTTTCGAATCCTTGGTTCGTTCCTTTCAGATTATACATGGAGAAGGCTGACAACAGTCACGATGTGCTGAATCACCTCGTCCCGAGCAATGAAACTCATCAGGCGATGTCCCCAATCACAAGCCCAGTGACCTCCTCACTACCTTGCTAGCACTCGAGGAATAGTGAATTCTACAATCAATATTATCGCCGCCAGCTATAGTAAATCGACGACACGTCCATCTTGACTATGCACTACGTACCTTCCATCCGCTGCGGTGGGCTTTAATTGGCTAGTCCCTTTTCCCCACTCATGTTGGTATCATGTTAGTATGTTGACTATTCTGTCACTGTTATGGAAAGGCTGGTTATGACAGCCATCGAACTCGTTTCTTCCCGAAATAACCGCTTTCTTCTTGACGTTTCGAAACCGGGTTTTTTGTTGCTGCCGCCCCACCTTAACTCTGCTACGTTATTTTGATACTGTTCATGTCATCGTAACGCCTAGATCCTTAGGCGCTAAGGGCAAAGGGAGCAACAATGAAAATATACGAACGACACCATGTGAACACCCAAATTGAAATGGCTAGTTGTCCAATGCTCATATACCAGCTTCCCGAACCACGACTTCTACGTCGTTATTCACTCTTCTTTTCATTGCAGTCTGAACTCAATATAGGACCTGCAACCATGCGGAAGATGCTCAAACGAGATGCTACTGAGCTTGGGAGCCCCGACGAGGTGCCCATCGCGAAAAGGCAGAGGGTATCTCTCTCCAGAACGCATGAGCTAAGTGAGGAGCATTCTCAAGATTTTCTCAAATATATGGAGCACGTAGAGGCATGTACTTCAGAAGTTCAGATAACCTGACACTCAGGTCGCTTCCGCTAAATTGACAAACACCAAGGCCGAGACGATGCTCGACATGAGGCGCTTCCCGGATGGAATAAGAGAAATGAGACCGGACATCGTCCTACATCTCCAAGTGGCTCATGCTATGCTTGGCCTACTTCCAGAAACGCTGTTTTTATCGGTCAACATTGTCGACAGGTTCTGCTGTGAACAAAGCTTCTGTGGGGAGGCATACTACAAATTGATCGGCTGTACTGCCTTATGGATTGCGTCCAAGTACATTGAAGAAAAGGGGCGGGTGCCATCTCTCGAGCGGCTTTTGCATTTCATTCCCGAAGGGTATTATCGAGACGAGAGGTTCTTCATCC